GCTCCAGACCTATGGCCTTAAAATCATTTTAGCAATATCCTGGCCTAGGCCTTTCATGGGCAGGTTAAAATTTGGGCAGAAAAAAAAAATGGGGCAGCACTGCTGTGGTAAGGAGCAACTAACAGGAATAAATCACCAGTCATTTGTATGCAAATTTAAGATATGTACTTTCTTATACATATGAGGCCTCCTCTACAGAAAGAAGAGCTTGTGTCCAGGCTCCTTACAAGCAGACAGCCAGAGAAGCTGTTTCAGAGCCCCAGGACGGTGCTATTATTGCTGCCACCAGGAGAACATGGTCTCTCCCGGGGCCCCAGCTGCTAGTCTGCTATGCTGGATCTCTGGAGCTTCAAGGAGAGTCAGGCTCCAGTTACTGGAATCAGAGGGCTAATTGGCCTCACACATCTCTGAATCCTGCCAGTTGCTAGGGGAGTGACAAGACTCCCCAAGGAACCAACCAAATGTAAAGAAAAAGGATCCAAAGACAAGGAGGGATAGAGAAGTAAAAGCCATTGCCTGGAAATGTAACTGTTAAATTTCTATCTTCCTACCCAGAAGTGCAAGGAGGGGGGAGAGCATCAGCTGAGAACCATTCTGTCATCTCGGTTCAGCGGTCCTTTAGCTGCATCCTGCCTAGCAACAGTTGTGAGCATGAGCTACAGCCACAAGTCCTTTACACAGTGACTGGGGGAATCAGTTTAACCCAAAAAGGGGCCAGGGCATGAAGATAAAGCCAGGTTTTCTGAGAGTTGGGTCAGAAAAAGAGCTGTATAGAAAACCAATCAGACAGGGCACATTGTGGGGCTGTCTGTTAGAAGCAAGGTTTTGGCGGAGGAAGGGCCAGGGCTGTGTAACAAGTGAGGATCATCTTCAGCACCCTTTCTCTGCTCTTCCGGCTCCTCTGAATAATACTACCAGTAATATCAGCACCTGTACATCTAGGTTCTACACTTAATCTTCCTGAGTGTTTCTGTAGGCATGATCTCATTTCCTTTTCCCAACAATACAGACTGAACAGGATCAGAGACAGGTTAATTATGATGTGGGCTGAGCATTGAGGCGGGCCAGGACATGGTGTGCTGCTGGCTATAGAGCTGAGGTGGCCGCAGAATGAAAACTCTAGATAGCCACAGTGTCTAGGATCCTGAGTGACTGTGGGAGTGGGGGGTTACCCATCCAAGATATTGGCTCCAGCTGAACCACTAATGTGCAGTTTCTATGGGTCTCTGCTTCGTTGTCTACTTTGGAGGCTGGTGTGGAAGGAGGGGCAGTCACCTAGCCTATTCGGCAGGACATTTAGATGCTGTGAAGAGATAATGGATGTGACAGTACTTTTGCTCAAATGAGGTAATAGATGTAAAATGAAAAGAATCACATAGATCTAAAGTGTTGTCATTAGGCAGAAGAGAAGTATTAGACCTTTACCCACATCACTGAAAGGAGAGAGCAAGCCCGGCACAGGATGAGGAGATACCTTTAGGGACCTTGGGTGGGAAAGAGAGAGATTAAAGGTATTGTGTGCTTTGGAACAATAAAAAAACTAGCAGGTACCCACAAACAAAGCAGAGGGGCAGGGTAGCATAAGCTTTGGCTGCTTCATAAGTTTGCTCAGGGTTGCTCTGCTTGAATGGACCGGAAGCCAAACATCTTTCAAAGTCAAATTCCCTGTTTCCCCCAGGAGGGAAGTCATGTGATCTGAGGACAGCTGAGCTCTTGTCATACATCACGGCTTGCGTCCTGTGTCACTCCCAAATCTCCAGGCACTTAGCAAATTTCAGAGGGACTTGGTTGCAGACACTGAAAGATGCAAACCCCAGAAGAAAAGAAAGAACTTCCATTAAAATTGCAAAATGGCTTCCTGGGCTGTTAATGGATGCATTTCTCCCCTGACCCAAGATGCCCAGGAAAGCCCAGACGGTGAGAGGAAAGAGCTGCTTGCTCAACTGAGGGAGAATCCAGTTAATACAGCTCAGTTAGGGAAAACTGTCACCAGGAATGAAAGATGCTCCGGTAATGCCCAGATACCTGGCTGTGGTGGTGAGAGAAATAGCTGGGGTCTCTGGACAGATGGAGTGTGCCCACGGTCAGAGCCTGTGTTCTCATCTCTCTCCCCAACTCTTCCCTGTACTGGCCAGCCAGCACAATCCTCACTTCCTCCATGGATTCTTTCCAGCTACTCCTCTCTCCCTCTCCTCTGAACAACCCAGCTTGGAACTTAGTTATAAAGCTGCTCTACTCAGCTCAGTGCTTTATTCCACTTGGGCATTGGATACTTGCATTTCTCCTCCAGCAAGACCAGAGCTCTTTGCAGGCAGAGGTTTGTCACTTCTCTTGTATCCTCCAGGGCTCCACACTACCTGAGATAGGTACTCAATAAATACTTTTTGATTGACTAACTTATGTCAAAAGAATAAAACAATACTTGTGTCACAAAAGGCTCTGGGCTCATTGGTTGCTTGGGCTTCAGGAGTGCCCATGTTCAGCAGTATTAGTGGAACCTCAAGGCTCACTTGAGACTGAAATGTCCTCAGCTGCAGAAAAAGAAAAAAAGGAGCCTGGTGGGGTGGCATATACCTATAGTCCTAGCTATTGGGATGGTTGAAGCAGAAGGACTACAAGTTCAAGTCTAGCCTATACAATTTAGTGACCCCTGGTTTCTAAATAAAATTTGACAAGAAGTAGGGATATGCCTTAATAGTGGAGTGCTTGCCTAGTATGCGCTAGGCCCTGGAACAGTTCCCCCACCCCCACTGTCCCCACCTGACCATGAGTGGGGGCGGTTCATGGAGAAAGCTGTGACTTTAGCAGCCAGGAATTGGGGAACTGAGGGCAGGAGAGTTTTCCAAGCACTTCCTCACCAAGCCTGCATCTTCTTGCCAGTACTTCTGTCAATGCCGCAGCTCTGGAGTCCAATAGGGTTCCATCTTCCAGCCCACGCCATAGTGTGTCCACATAGGAAACTAGTTGGTTCCACCCCCTAAGAAGACCCTTTTAGTGCCTTGATGGCAAGAGGCAAGAGGCTCATTTGGGAAGCAGCCCCAGGGGAAGGGAGAACTACAGCTGTAAGAGGCTGTTCTCTGTGTCCCTGTAAGGCTGAGCTCCTGCCTGTCACCAAGAGCAGAAATGAGAGAGGCCCCAGCCTGAGGCAATTCATGCAGAGTATCTGTCCCAGGAGGACCTAACCAGGACACTGGCCAGTCATACTCCAGCTTCCGAGTGTCTTGCAATTAAAAAGTGACCATTTGTCTTACTAAGGTGGGAGGGAAGGACCCAGCTTCTGAACTTGCTTCTAGAGACTTGACCTTATCCTAGCATTGTCATCTGCCTCCCGCCAGGGTAAGTAGCAGTCTCCAAGCTAGCTTACATGCAGCGGGAGGGGATCTGGCTGGATTCAAGGCAGCCATGGAGTGTCTTTCTTCTTTCCCAGTTCTGGTATGATCGCAAACTCTGGTTTTGTTTTTTTTTT